CCCGCCTGGGCAGCGAGACTTCATCTCTACAATAAATCAGAAAATCAGCCGGGCGTGGTAGCGCATGCCTGTAATTCCCGCTACTTGGAAGGCTGAGGCGGAATGATCGCCAGAGCACAGCAGGTCGAGGCTGCGGTGGCCGGGAGCGGCCATGCACTCCAGTCTGGGCGACAGAGTGAGACTTCAACTCAAAAAAAAAAAAAAATGTAAGTTAGATCTGTTTCTCTTAATTTTTCTGGAAAAGTCTACAGTTTACCGTTAAATCAGGCTCATTTCTAAAATTAGTATGAATTATTATGGTTTTAATCAGAAAAAAATAGGATAGTTTGTTAATTATCTGGAATAGCTGGAGGATGTGGGATTCTGGGTAAATTTAACTTTGATTAATTTTAATCAAAAACACTTGGTTTCAAAATGTATAGCTTTTTGAAAATATTCTAAGTTGCCCTTTTTTTGACTCTTCAGGACACTGGTGATCAGCATGTAAAAATATAAGAAACTGGGTTTGAATAATATGTACTTTAGAGTATATTCTAGAAAATGTCTTTTAGAACGCAAACAACCAAAAAACTTGTTCCTAGTAAAGACTTTGTGTGTGTAAATGATATTTCTGTAAAAGTTGAGCTCTGAGTAAAGGGTTGGAAGAATTCTGTTTAATTTAAATTTCACATTTCTCATCTGTTTTTCAAAATTTCTGGACAAATATGTATGGTCATTTTACTTTTTGACTATATAGCTCTTTCTTTTTCACATGAATTCATTGCCACTTTTGGTGTTTTTAGGATTTGGAGTGGATCAGTTACGAGATGATAACCTAGAAACTTATTGGCAGTCAGATGGCTCCCAGCCTCATTTAGTGAACATCCAATTCAGGTAATACATTTCTGAATTTTTCAGCTAGTGTTGGTTGGACTCATTGGACAAAGAATTGGACAAAGAAGTCTATTTTACTTGCATAAAAATTAAAGAAATATAGACATTACAATGAAATATACTTAACTCTATTTTTATTTATTTATTTATTTATTTTGGTGTTGGGGTTTCACTCTGTCACCCAGGTTTAAATGGCACAATCATGACTCACCGCAGCCTTAGCCTCCTGGGCTCAGGCAATCCTTCTGCCTCGGCCCCTGAGTAGCTGGGACTACAGGTGCATGCCGCCACACTTGGCTAATTTTTAAAATTTTTTGTAGAGATGAGGTCTCGCTGTGCTGCCTAGCCTGGTCTCAAACTCTTGGGCTCAAGCAGTCTTCCCACTTCAGTCTCCCAAAGTGCTGGAATCACAAGTGTGAGCTACCGCGTCCAGCCTTTTATGCCATCTATTTTAACATTCTGTAACATCATATGTTTAGTTGTTGTTGTCGTCCTCCTAAGGTACTAATCAGCAAACTTCATTTGAAAACACCAAACAGTAAATATTTTGGACCTTGTGGGCTATCTGGTCCTTGTTGCAGCTACAGTACTCCAGACTGCTGTTATATCCCTGGGGCAGCCATATATAATACATAAGTAACTCCATTTAGCTGTTCAAATTACATTTTATCTTACAAAAGCAGAGTTTGGGAGGATTTGGCCTGCAGGCCATAGTATGCCAACTCCTATCACAGTGTATTAAATATGTATAGACAAAAAATAACATTAACAGCTAATTTTTTTAAAAAGATGTCAGATACCAGATACTTTGCTTAATGCCTTACCCATTTATCTCATTTAAAATTTACAAATATTGTGTCTTTATTGTATAGTCTCAGAAGCAGAGACTTAGATAAATTAAGTAATTTTCCTAGGGTTACACAGCTGGTAAGTGACAGAATTACAGTTTGAACAGAAGCTTTTTGACTTCAGAGCCTGTGCTTTTGAAACTGTTATACTGTACAACCTAGGATTGCTTCTCCATAAAAACAAAGGCTGTAGCCTAAAAGTTGTATAATGAGTGTCCTAATTTAATTGTATTTTATTAGAATAGCAGTTGGTTTAAATAAAATTTAAATAACTGCAAATACCTATATATCACTGTAAACTGGTATCAGTGACTAATAAATAAGCTAAGTACAGTTAATTAAAGGGAAGGCAGTAGTGGTCAAGATCATGTGAGGCAGACAGATATACTTTTGAATTCTGACTGTGCCCACCCACCAGCTTTTTTACCTTAAACCAGCTATGAACCTGTGTTACTAATTTTTTAAATCAGAAAAATGGAGAATAGTGCCTCTATCTCAAGGTTGAGGAATAAGTGAAATAAGTATTAAATATTACTTCTAGGCCAGATACACACTATTCATTAACGATTTGCTACTCTTGTTTTTATTAATCATTAATCATTGTTTTAACTATTCTTTGCCTTTCTAAACCTCACTCTGATAATCTTGTAGGTCCCAGTGACTAAGTTATCCTGAATTTCACAATTTAGAAATAAAATTATTCTGAGCAAAAATACTTGATCCTTTAGATTTGCCTTTTAAAAAAAAGTCCTTAAGAGTTTGTGTGACCTTTGATCTCTCCATAGTAAAGAAAGGCCTTTGCTTTCTTCCTTTGATATGGCTCATCAAGGAATAAGATCTTTAGTATGCCCTTCAAAATTTTCCCTTCTTTCTTTGCTTCCTCTCCTGTCTCCTTTCTCGCTCAGCAGAAAGAGAAAGATGTCAGTTTGATACCTTTGGCCTCTTTTGAAAACCTAGTAATGGTATTTATTTGTCAGCAGTTCCTGGGTATTTAGTGTTTTATATCTTGATTAGAGGAAAAGTTCTTGACTTTCCCCATTCCTTTTGGTGAATAGCTTAGGCCACAGAAGTTTGGTTCCTCCCTAAGAGCTACAGATTCCCTGCTGTTTATAAGCTGACTCTTTGACACAGACTACTTGCTCAGGAAGCCTATTGTTACTCAGTGCCAGTTTACACAAGAACTTAACTTACAAAGCACATTTAGTTAGAATTCTTCATCTTTGGGGGGGGTAAGTTTTTAAAATCACCTAATTTTTTGTTTCTGATGGCCAAGTAGTACGTGCTTATTCTGAAAAATTATTCAGAAAAGATAGGAATTATAAAGAAGAAAATAAAGATCTCCCATAGTTCCTTCCCACCAAAATAGTTGCCTTTACCTATTTTTGTATAAGTCCATCTAGATCTTTTTAAAGAATATAAGTCTAGGTTTATATTCTTTAGGAAAATTTTTGTTTTTCCCCTAAATGGGATTCTTCTGTATATATTGTTTTGTAATCTGCGTTTTTCCTACTGTAGCTACATATGTGCATAATTATTTTAATAGTTGTACAGTATTTCGTTGAATGGATTTATTATAATTATTTAACCAGTTCCCTATTGCCATGGGTTTTTGGGTTGTTTTTAATGTTTTAGTAATTTAATCACAGGACAAGGGTTTTCTGCATCCATTTTTTTTTTCCTCCAGGCCAGTCTTCATTGGAATACAGTTTTTGAATATTTGTGTTACTGTCTTTTAATGCATTTTTAGAAGTTGAATTAATGAGTTAAAGGTTGTGTACCTACTAACTGGCTATGAAAGCACCTTTTTCTAATCATATTTGGGTTTTCTCAGTCATTTTACTATTTTCCAATATGGTAGTAAAACGAATATCACTGTACCTTTTAATTTCTCTTGATTATTAGAAATGGAATATCTTTTTGTGTTGTTTTTTTTTTTTTGCCACTTGCATTTTTTCTGAGGTTAATTTTCTTTTATATATTTTTTATTTGCCTAGGATATGTATATTTAAAAAACAAGAACAAAATTTTATTTCTTGCATTAAGTAATAGATTATGCTTTCTATTTTTTAAAAAAGATGTTTTTCTCTTTGCTGGACTCAAGTTTCTCAGTTACCTATTCTCAAGTATTCATATGGGAAATGAAGAGAATGGAAATAAAGAGAATGGAAATCCTTAATGTTGTTTGCACAATAAAGTACCTAATTTGGCTTAACTGATCCTTCTTTGCTCACATCTGGTTTATGACCATGTTCTGCCTGAGATATCCATCCAAGTAAAATATTATATCTGTACCTATATTTTTACTTTTTCATTTTCATTATTGTTGGAATTAAAGGAAGTGGAATTTTTGATTCAAATACTCATTTTAGCGATCTATGATTTTTAAAATCAGAAGATAAGATGCTGTGAAAATCTTTTCAGATGAAGTTCATGTTGTTTTTATTTTATTGCTTTTAGAAGAAAAACAACAGTGAAGACATTATGTATTTATGCAGACTACAAATCTGATGAAAGCTATACTCCAAGCAAGATCTCTGTCAGAGTAGGAAATAATTTTCACAATCTCCAAGAAATTCGGGTATGTCTTTCAAATTTTTAAAAACATGTCATCCTTTTAATCTTGATCTTTAGAAGATAGTCACAGTTGACATTAGATTAGATGGGTTAAAATGTTAATATATAAAAGGAATTGTTAATATTGGAGAAAACATGTTTGTATAATTTTTAAAATTTTCTTTAGATTCTGATTGTCCTCTTTATTATGGAAATTTTAAGACACACAGAAAATGTGAAGATTTGTGCCGTGGACCCCAATATGCTCACCTCCTAGATTTTTCAGTTAATGTTTTGCTGTTGTTACTTTATTATAATCTGTCCAACTCATTTTGTGTTTTGTGTGTTTAAAAATAAGTTGCAGGTTTTTGTATGCTTCACCCCAAATACTTCAGCATGATACAGTAGTAGAATTATCACTATTTGCTTAAGGTTCATTTTGTTGTTTTATTTTTGTTTTTTCCTTTATTTTTTCTTTATTTTATTATAAAGATGTGGGGTACAAGTCAGGGTTAGGTATGTTATTAGTCTACGTGCAGGTGAAGGTTGAACCTCTACTGGTCCTCACTTCACCTGGTTTAGGATCAGGTACCCTTAGTGATGTTTTATGCCCCTCCCCCCCACCCCCTGCCACCCGGCATTGTCCTGCTACTGCCAATCCCTCTCTTATAGAATTGTGATGAATGTTTAGGACCAACTTATAAAGGAGATCATGTGTATTCAGTTTTTTGTTTCTGTGATAGATCACTGAGTATGACGGGCACTAAATCTATCCAAGTTGCTGCAAAAGTCTGTAATTTTGTCCTTCTCTATGGCTGTGTAATATTCCATTGTACATACGTAACAAATTTTCTTTATCCTGTCCACTTTCAATGGGCAGCTGGATTGGTTCCAAGTTTTTGCTTTTGTGAATAGTTCAGCAATAAACATACATGTGTAAGTATCTTTTTTTGTAGAATGACATGAGTTCCTCCAGGTATATTCCAAGGGGTGGATTGCTGGATCATGAGGAAGGTCAAATTTTAGTTCTTCTAAATATCGCCACACTGTTTTACATAGAGGTTGAACTAGTTTGCACTCCTACCAATAGTGTAGAAGACTTCCCTTTCTCCATACCCTTACCAGCATCTGTTGTTTTTTGATTTATTAGTGATAGCTGTCCTTACTCGAGTTGTGGGGTTTTTCGATGTGGTTTTGATTTGCATTCTTCTAATGGTTAGTGAGGCTGAGCATTTTTTCATGTATCTGTTGGCTGTTTGTATGTCTTCTTTTGAGAAATATCTATTCATGTCCTTTGCCCACTTTTTAATAGGACTGTGTGTTTTTTTCCTTTCAGCTCATTTGAGTTCCCTGTAGATCCTGGATGTTAAGCCTTAAATACTTTTTCCCATTCTGTGGGTTGTCTTCTCTCTTTCTTGATGGTTTCTTTTGCTGTTGCTGTTTTCAGTTTGATGAAATTCCACTTGTCTATCTTATCTATTATGACGTATAGTTTTGGGGTTGTGATCAAGAATTGGTAGTCTACTCCAATGTACATAAGGGTGTCTCCAGCATTTTCTTTTTTTTTTTTTTTTTTTTTGAGTTGGAGTCTCACTCTGTTGTCCAGACTGGAGTGCAGTGGCCGCTCCCAGCCACCTCAGCCTCGACCTGCTGGGCTCCGGTGATCCTTCCACCTCAGCCTTCTGAATAGCTGGAATTACAGGCATGTGCTACCACGCCCGGCTGATTTTTTGATTTATTGTAGAGATGAGGTCTCGCTGCCCAGGCAGGTCTCGAACCTGTGAGCTCAGGCAATCCACTCACCTCAGCCTCCCAAGGCATGGGATTACAGGCTGAGCCACTGAACCTGGCTGTCAAGGGTTTTTGTCAAGAAGAGATGATGGCTATTTTGAGGTATGTTCCCTCTAATGCCTAGGAGTTCAGGGTTTTTGTCAAGAAGTGATGCTGGAATTTATCAAAAGCTATTTCTGCATCTAATTATATTATCATGTGGTTACTGTTTTTATACCTGTTGATGCATTGAATTACATGTACGGTCTTGCAGATGTTGAGCCATCCCTTCATCCCAGGGATGAAGCCTACTTGGTCATGGTGGATTATTCTTGAGATGTGTTGTTAGATCTGATTTGCTAAAAGCTTGTTGAGAATTTTTGCGTCTGTGTTTTTTAGGGATATTGGCCTGTAGCTCTCTTTCCTTGTTGAGTCTTTGCCCGGTTTTTGGGTATCAGTATGATGTTAGCTTCATAAAATGATTTGGGAGAGTTCCGTCTTTCTTGATTGCCTGGAATACTTTTGATAGTATTGATATCACCTCCTCCTTTTATATTTTGTAAAATTCAACTGGAAAACCGACTGCCCAGGGCTTTTTTTTTTGTAGGTTGTTTTCCTATATGGAGTCAATTTCCTTGGTTGTTACTGGTCTAGTTAGGGTCTCTATTTCTTCGTGTTTCAACCTTGGAAGGTGGTATGATTGGGAGGATCAGAAAATCCTCCATTTCATGTATGTTTTCAAGTTTGTTTGTATACAGGTGTGCCTAGTAATCTCTGATAATCTTTTGAATTTCTTCGGGGTCAGTTGTGACTTCGTCTTTTTTATTTCTAACTGTGTCTATTTGGGTTTTTTTTGTTTAATCTGGCTAGGGATCTGCCAATCTTTTCCTTTCAAAAAACTGGCTTTTTGTTTCATTGATTTTTTTTTTTTTCCTATGATATTTTGTCTTCTGTGTCCTGTAGTTGGGATTTTACTTTGGTGATCTGGATTCTTCTGCTGAAGATAGGATTTTGGTGGTCTTGCCTTTCCAACTCCCGTAGGTGTGTTGTTTTAGGCTGTTTACTTATGATCCTTCTGTTTTCTTGATGTGTATGTGTAGAGTTATAAATTTTTCTCTTAGTATTGCTTTCATGACATCCCAGAGGTTTTGGTAAGGTGTGGTTTTGTTTTCATTTGTTTCCAAGAATCTTTTAATTTCTGTCTTGATTTCTTTGTTAACCCAGGAGTCGTTCTGCATTATGTTGTTTAACGTTCATGTCTTTGTGTGTTTGGGGATCTTGTTGGTGGTGATACTTATATTTATTCCACTGTGGTCCGAGAAGATGCATGGTAGTATTTTGATCTTATGAAATTTATTTATGCTTGATTTATGACCGAGAATGTGGTCAATCTTATAGTATGTTCCATGTGGTGGTGAATAGAATGTACATTCTGTGGTTGTTGCGTGAAGTGTTCTTTAGGTATCTATTATGGTTGTTGTTTTAGAGACAAGGTTTCACTCTGTCACCCAGGCTGGAGTGCAGTGGCACAGAATTGCTCACTGCAGCCTTAACTCCCACCCCAGCCTCCTGAGTAGCTGGAACTACAGATGCACACCACCACACCCAGCTAATTTTTTTTTCTAATAGTCATTGGGTCTCACTGTGTTGCCATGGCTGGTTTCAAGCTCTTAGCCTTAAGAAATCCTCCCACCTCAGCCTCCAGAAGTTCTGGGATTATAGTCATGAGCCACTATACCTAGCTAAAATATTTTTACAATTTCTCTTTTAATTTCTTGTTTTACCCATTGTTTGTTCAGGCACATGTTGTTTGATTTCCATGTATTTGTGAATTTTCCAAAATTTCTCCTGTTGTTGATTGCTAGTTTTATACTGTTGGGTCAGAAAAGATACTTGATATGATTTCTGTCTTAAATTTGTTAAGACTTGTTTTGTGACTTGATATGTTACCTGTTGTGGATAATGCTTTGTGTGTGCTTGAGAAGAATGTGTATTTTACTGGTGTTCTGTGGAACGTTCTGTATATGTCTGGTCCATTTAGTGTAAAGGGTAGTTTAAGTCTGATATTTTATTATTGATTTTCTTTCTTGATGATCTGTCCATTGCTGAAGATAGGGTATTGAAGTATCCTAGTATCATTGTATTGCAGTCTGTTTTTCTTTTCAATTCATTCAATATTTGCTTTATGTATTTAGGTACTTCAATGCTGGGTGCATATATGTTTACAATTGTTACATCCTCTTAATGAATTGATCCTTTCGTCATTATATGATGGCCTTCTTTGTCTCTTTTTACAGTTTGTGGCATTAAGTCTACTTTGTCTAATATAAGTATAGCTACTCAGCTCTCATTTGGTTTCCATTTGTGTAGAATATCTTCTTCCATCCTTTTACTTTCAGTCTATGTGTGCCCTTAAAGATGAAGTGAGTGTGTTATAGGCAGCATATAGTTGAGTCTCATTTATCCATTTAGTGACTCTGTGTCTTTTGATTAGAGAATTGAAGTCATTACATTAAAGGTAGTTATTGATAGGTAAAGACTTACTGCTGCCCTTTTGTTAGTTATTTTCTAATTGTTTTGTTCCCTTCTTTCTCCCTTATCTTTGTGATTAGGTAATTTTCTCTAGTGACTTTGACTCCTTACTTTTTATCTTTTGTGTATTTACTATAAGTTTTTTGTTTTGTGTTTAGCAAGAGACTTGCATAAAACATCTTATAGTTATATTTTAACCTGTTAACAACTTAAGCTTGATTGCATGAAATCACTCTGTAGCTTTATTCCACCCCACCATTTTATGATTTTGATGTCATAATGTACAAGGCGGGGGACCCCCTTCCATCCCCCCCATAAAAAAAACGAAATTATCTTTTGGAGGTAGGAGGGCCCCTTGTAATACAGGCTTCTCCCACTAGGTAAATATTCTAAGCACCTATTGGCGTCAGTATATATTGTTGTAAGAGGCTGTGTTAGGCTTCAGTGGGTTTTATTTTGGCCTCTTTTGTCACGTTTGCCCATTTCATGATGGGTGATCACGAAGCATACCTGCCCATCCCACACTGAATGTTCAGCAGTTTTTGACCAAAAACTGCATGATTCTCATGCCCCACCCTCTCTGTGTACCTGATCTTGCCCCAGGCAACTTGTTTTTGCTTTTCGGATGAAAAAAATCCTCAAAGGGAAATGTTTTGCCTATGTGGAAGAGGTGAAACAAAAAAATGGCAGAAGCACTAAAAGTCATCAAAATTGACGAGTTCA